CTATTGCCGACGGTACCAACCATTTGGTACACTGTCTAGGGTTATCCCTCACTAACTTCATCTGAGAAACCACTGCTCAGTTTCACTTACTCCTCATTTTGTGTGGTTTTTCGTATGCGTTTTGAGGATTTTTGCCCTCGGCACCGTTCACTTTGGCGTACGCCCGCCCGTCAGGGGTGTGCTTCATTGATTTCGACCGCCAATTGCCTATCGTTTGCCACTTTTTCCGCTCTCGGGGCTCTTTTGGAACCGAACTGCGAATTTTTGAAAGTTTCGTAGCAAGCACCGCCCACCTATAGAACGCCCCGCCCAAAATGGGTTTGTCTCACTCATTTCGTCCGCCAACCGATTGCCTATCGTTTGCCACTTTTTCCGCTCTTGGGGCTCTTTTGGAACCAAACTACGAATTTTTGAAATTTGTAGCTCACAACTGTGCGCACGCCCCGCCCACAGTGGGCGGGGCCTTAGCTTAGTTCATGTGTGTTCCGTACATCTTGGCCCATGCCCTACCCAACCCACCCTTGACCCGCCCCCTCCAACTGGCTCTTCAGGTGATTCCGAATTTCCGGACAGACAGACAGACAAACAGACAACTTTATATATAGTAGGACACACGGCACAACTTTCTGCCAGTTTGTGCGCGTGTGCACCTTTTAAAGATTTTAAAGGATCTTTAGGCTTATCCTGCTCTTGCATTTCATTACTCGGAACATGAAACAGTTCAGAACATTTCTTCTCCATAGTAGCAGCAAACTGGATTTTTCTTATAACCTCGTTAATTTTCCATCGTATCTAGATGAAGCCAAGCCTGAAGAGTAATTGAAAGGCAAAAAAAATTGAGACTCCATGCTTCGGGCCAATGAGCCATCAAGTAGGCCGTCTACGCTGCTTTCAACCTCGCAGCTCAATACATCCTGCTGTGAGGCTACGGGATTGTCGCATTCAGATTTCTGATGATTGATTCATCCTTATTTTAAAAGAACATTTTCGGCACTGTTGCCCCTGAATCATCCTTGGAGCTTGGGCCAAGTCTCGATGTGGCCCTTCTTTTATTCTTAGAAAAAAGTGTAACAATAAGTGTACATCCATCACTGAAACGAGAATTCTTTGTCAAATAATTCCTCTATGAAACTCAGGAGCGTGAAGTTCTCATTGACCCTTCACTTTTGAAAGTAATTTCTTCCTCTCGGCAACAAGCGTGTGCCGCATTTTTAGCACATGTGCGAGTCTTCAGCACTGGTTTATCTGCAAATGCGACGCGAAGAGCTCTTAGAGTGACTGCCAACCTGCCTGTTGGGTGTCTTTTGTCGCATAGAAATGTGCTATGTGCTGTGCTATATAGCATCGTGGTTGGTTCCTACTATAACATCGACTGGTGTCTATTTTTGCTAACGGTTTCTTTCTCATGTGCCATTATCGCACTTCCAAAGTATTTCTCGGGCGGACAAACGCACATGCAGATCGGCGAAGCTACACTGTAGCGTAGTGGTTTATATAAAAGAATGATAAGAGAAACTTCGGAAAGAAAAGTTCTTCAAAGATGGCAAGTTGTCTCTAAAATATCCAAAAAGCTCTACCACTACAGGAAATTGCGGCGAATTCCATTCGACTTCATCATAGGAGTGCAATAAGGATAGTGGAGAAGTGGGGAACCAGCAGAATCACTTTCCCTCTACCTTTAGCGGGACAATCGTTTAATTTTGAAGAGAGGATCATCCAACTTATCACGCAAAGGTTGATGAGCTAAGGTAAATTTACCATAGCAAAAGAAGGGGGAAAGCGCGCGGGGTCTTGGTGGTGTAATGGATATGCGTAACGATGCAGAAATGTTCATATGCACCTTTTCATCTTACTCTAGGCTGAGCGCACTTTGTCGTAATTCTTCGCCCTTGCTGTGGTTTCGATCAGTGTTTACGCGCTACACAATACAATCAAGTATCCCATCATAATGTACTGAACGTTTCCTGCGTAGAGAATAATTAAACCCCAGTTCTTCGAAAAATACACCATCAGAAGCATACAGGTTCCGTTGGTCACAACAGTTCTTCTTCTGACTCTTCAATGGTGCTACAGCCGTTGGCTCTTTCTGATAGTAGTAGTTTCTTCACTGCTGTGAATATTTACATGATAGTATGTCTTAGGTATGAACGGTGGTAATGATGGATACAGTAGTCCGTGGCCGCGGTTTCGTTTTTATGAAGATCTTTAGCACCTCACGGCGTATTGAAGAGTTGAAGGCAAGGTAGATGAATCCATGGAGCCCTGAAAATGATTTTTCGGTGCAGAATACACTAACGCACAACTATGAAAAATTTTTCTTGAGAAATGCTTGCCCTTGATCACATACCCTAGTCCGGTCATGCTGTTTTTTTAGTTCTCATTTCAGATATATTATCCCCTTAATTTGTTTCTTTGTTATCGTTCATATTCTTACAGAGACACAGTGGCATTTACGAGTGGCACATTTCGGGGCAGCATCATATCACCCTCATTTTGATTCGGTGGATTTTAAACGTAGAACTTTTCTTCAGAACAGAGAGCTAAACATTGAGCTCACACATGCGTGTATAGTCGCTTATGCAGCAGACGCGGCGCGTTTGTCAGCGGGATGGGTTCGGCTCGGTACCGCCAGCCCTTTTTTCACTAGCTGCTGTTACTTGCCCAGCAACTGTTGGACAACGGACTTGCTCCGTGCCAAACCCAGCCCTCAGGCAGTCACTTCACATGAGGGCAAAGCTGTTACCATCGTTCGGCAACGACTTTGGGTACAATGCTGGCAATCAGCGCTTGTTGATAAAGAACAGGCTGGTCAGATTCGATTTCGATTCGATTTCGCAGTAGAAATGTGCGCCTGGAGGCCGGATATTATCCGCGGCAACTTCTAGCACGGGTTACAACGATCTGAGGGGAGGGCCAGAAGTGACAAAGAAGACGGCACTCATAGCAAATGGATCGAGATGAGAACTGGGTGCACCAAGTTAGTGATGTAACCAAGCAGCATCCACACTAGCGTACACGACAGAGACCCCTGAACGGAGAAGGGGGGGGGGTAACTAAGAGGGGAAGTTCTCCCTTGGGCGCCGCATACGACCTTATCGACCAATGTGTCTTCGTCATTCGCGGGTTGCCGTTCTAAGAAGATCTGCGATCCTCTTCTTAGAAATGGGGTGGTTGGAACTAGGAAGAAGTGAGCGACCCTCTGACTTGTAATGCCACCCGACTTGGTGAACAGACTTGGTGTTGTGCCAAAAAAGGGACAGGAAAAAGGGGGCCGGAATAGGTGATAATCGCGTCTAATGGCGTCTAAATCAGAAGAATAGAGAGATATTTTACTGTGTCGCCAGACTAGCTCTTCAATTTCAGAAAGGTCTCTCTAATAATATGAGGTTCAGAGAAGCGTCACCTACCACTGCTTCATGCATAAGGGTGTGTACACTTACCTACAAAGAGCGCCTTCGTATACTTGTAGCTTCAACTCTCTAAAGCAGGAAGTTGGCTGATCTCTCTTTTATGCATCAACTGACAGCAGACGACATCTGCTTGCAGCTGTCTGACTTTTTTGAGATCCTGCCTATCATAAGTGTCTGTAGAGGTCATCCCTATCGAAGTCGCCTCGCCTCAACAAACCAAATTACTCGTTACGAGTTACGAGTTACGCGAGGGCTTGGGAGGGTTGGCAGACCTACTAAGTTGGTATACGAAGCCGCAGCTCCACGGTTTGGTTTGTTGGCCGCCCATTGTGCGCTCCTTTTGCTCAGCCCACCACTTCTTTTTCCGCGTACCCAGTAGCTTTTTCGATGAACCATATTTTCTCTTGTCTCTTCATGTGCATATAAATTCTGTGAATTTTCCTACTCCTTTTCTTACGGTCTTGTTTCTCCTGTTTCTCCTCTACTATTGCCATGCTTGGAGATTGTCGGTATCGGCGCGGAGGTGGTGTAGTGACAAGTGGCGCGCTTACCACTCGCGCGGCGCCGGGTTCAAATCCCGGGTCGACTCCCGCCCAGGCCAACCAAGCCTTCTACCCTCCGGGGACGGTAAATTACCAGATTCGTCTGGGAGGATAAAACACTGACTTGTACATCGGCTGGCCACCGCAAGTATAGGCCACATCGCATTCAATAAGCCACTACGATTCTGAATGGAAGTAGAATGCGTGCCGCATCCCACAAAGGGATTGATCAACGGCGAAGACTTTATCCTTTATCCTTGTTGGGATTACCCTTATACCATTGTTTTCCCCTTATACCATTAAGTTGCCACAAGAGCTCCATAAAAAATGTGTGGGGTCTCGCGTTCTTACAAAGAGGTGCAACGAAACTTTCTAGTTTTTCCTCTGAACAGCTTTCGTGAGTTTTTAAGGTGGATTAGTTGAAGAGCACGTTTTCTGGGTGCTCTGAGATAGCCAAGAGTGGATAGATAGCAAGGAGTGGGTAAGCTCTGAAGAGTGGTATGATGGCCTTGCCCTCGGGAGAGCCTCATAACAGTAGAGAGTTGTAATTGTAGAGTACCAAGCTCTCTTGGTCGATGTCCAAATCATGCAGAAAGTCCTTTCAGTCAGAGCGGAGAAGCATAGACTCGACGATGGAGCTCTGGTACATCGCACAACATCCTTCAAGAATTCTACCTCTCAGCATTTCTGCCGAAGGACTGGCGACATATGTTGCAAATCTTCGGATTGGGAATTGTGAAATGGCGACATCGTTCACAGAGTGGGGATTCCTCACCGCAACTAGTTTTAGACGATTGTGTCTCCTCTCGCAGAGTGAACGGATCAGCAGCGGTGCTGGTTAGTAGTGATGGCTTCCAAAGAGCGCTGTTGATGTTGTGGAATGTCGTCGTCGCTTGTTGCTGCAGTGCCTCCCATCAAAGATTCACTCGTGAAGCTTGGCCTCATGGTTGAGGTCATCCAAGAGAGGCTGGCCGTCCATACTCTTGCGGAGATGCTTCATCCAAAGGTTTTGGAGTTTTCAAAATGTTGAGGGGACCTTCTCATCAATTTAGAGTCTCAGTTGGAGGGTTTCTTCGGCAAGCTCACAGCAACCGGGCGGTTGTCGTGAGTTTGTACGATTGTGGGCATCGAAAGTGTCCTAGACAGTTATATAGGTGTGGGAAGATTGACCAAAAAAAATTTACCATGGCTTAGCTGCCATAAAATGTTAGATGTAATGACGATATTTCGTGTCAGTATGAAAAATCCCATCATAACGTGAAGAAGAGACGTGATAGAGGTAGTTGTACAAATAAGTAGAGCTTGAATAAACAACTGAAATAGATTAGTTAGATTATCTTGATTAGTAGCTGCAGTTTTCTTGTGAAGAGGGAACGAGGGCGGGCGTGAGAGGGCAAAACCCAGAAAAGAAAATGGCCTTTTGTATCAGTGATATCTCCTGAGCCGTAGCACTGTGAAAGTGATGTCTTGGGTGTTCTGTATGTACGCAAGGCTACAAGGCGGAGGTAGTGTAGAAAGAGGTGCCTCGCCTATTACGCGCGGTCAGAGGGCCTAGTCACGGGGGTTACGAGTGGCTGAGGCACAGACCAACTGAGCATTCTACCTTCTGAGGAACGGTGGACTGGTACCAGATTTATCTGGATTTGTAGAAGCAGTGACATGTATATTGGCTGCTCTCCGCTAGTCATTGCATAGGCTTCTTCGCTTTCAGCATGCCAGTAGAATTCATCTCGAAAAGAGGATCGGTGGAAGTATTGACCTTGATTCTTTTATTGTCTCCAAAATACATTCTGCGTCAATGCTTTACGATTGCATTTGTGTTTGAAATGCTGTAACAGTTTTTCACATCAACTACCTGTATTTGCAGTTTCTGATTTACTATTTTGGAAATCCGAGGTATTCTTACAATATACACACAAATAGTTGCGTAAAGGCTCAGCACCACGACGACCACAGTGACGTTATGTATTCCCACCAGGAGTGTTGTGTAGTGAGCTGCCTCCTAAATGAAAAATTATAAAGTAATCTTCATCAACAATTTCTGTATTTGCTAACTTCACTTCCTCTTTTATCATGTGGAGAGCAATGCGTAAACAGAGAAACCCCCATCAATTACAGGAACCTTACGGCTACTAGATCCTGCTAAACAAAGTTTCGTCTTTCATCAAGTAGAGGCATTGCATTACGCCGGAAATCCTTGTGGACACACGTAAATAGAGAGCTCAGATACTGTACCTTTGGAAAGGCTTTTTTCCTTGAGTATAAGCACACTCTATTTAGGGTATGAGTCAGGGTACAGCACTCACCTTAATAGCGAGTCAGTACTCCTGGGAAGCCATTTCGCCAGTGTTAACTCCCTCCCACCGAATCCTTCTACCTCCCTAATATTTTTCCAAATAATGCATCAGCCTTTCCCAGAAAAACTGGCTCGTGCGAGCAGGGGGGGAGTATCTCACAAATCAGCTACAACAACCAGTGGTCAGGCAGTAGTTTTGACGCCACTCACGCCACGGGTTTCAGTGAGCTATGTACCACAAGTTGGTACATAGCTCACTGAAATGAAATCCCTCACATGGCTTGAAAACTTCTCTTAAGATAAGATGTGAGTCTCGACGGAAATCTTTCAGCGAAGCCGTAGCTAAAGTTGTTATGAGGGTGCAGTGCTGCCGATTTCAAGTAAAACGGTAAATGAAGTTGTGATAATATTAAAATTCACGCGAAAGACGAGATGAATACAGATGTGTAGGTTAGAGCAATACTTGTCATAGAAGTGAGACGGTACGTGGAAAAGGACCACTTAAACTTGAACTACGCCCATGCGGAAATTTGCGTTTGCTCTGAGTGCTGAGGACTGTCGAAAGCATGCAAAAATATATTTTAATCACTTTATCAGCATCGTCGGTGATCATTGGTGAATAAAGGTAAGCCGACGCAACTGTATTATAAGGATGCGTTCTATTAACGAATGGTAACACCAGCATGTAAGCAGCGGATAGAAGCATCCAAATGTACAATAACTTCCCTGAAACAATTGATGTCGAGAAGGAGACAGTGTTCGAAGTGCGCTAATTTACATATTCTATTGAAGCGGAGCTTGTGAGTAGTGAGAGCGGTCCTCGACGAGAAAGCCACGAACCTCGAAATAAAAAGCGCATGCATTGAAAAGAAGGAATCATTTCAACTGCACGATTCAAAGCCAATACCATGCAATTAAATGAAGCTCCGGACCATACACCTGAATGAAATTATTTGGTGCAAACAATCACGTGCCAAATTGAAAAAGTTTAATAAAGTATAAAAGTGTGCTTTTTGCTCACGAAACTGCGACGTCATATACCGCATTACTACACAGTCTACAGTCTGGTATTCCAATACTCTCCAGCTGTTTCCCTGAACACTAGTACCTGGCGCCGGCCGGTGCCTCTCTGTGGCTTGTTCTCGATTCGATCTGTAGCTTTGGAGTGTTGATGCTCGTCTATGCGCGTCATAACCTAACGTTCTAAGGCATTTGCGAAGTCGTTGTTCGAGCAAGTCCCCGTGCGTGTCATCATTTCTTCGGCGCGTAGCTGACGGAGAGGTACTCTTTCATTATTCAAAAACATAGAAATCGCTGTTGGAAGATTGTCGCGAATGAGCGACTCCATCTTGTGATGGGGTTATTGCTAGTCTCATTCAAAGTTACATAGACACTGGAAACGGGGTCTCGTATAGAAACTTCAGATTTCATCGTTGTTTTCGGATATCTCGGAGAATCTGTGGAATGAGAGCTCCCTCGAGTACCAGGAACCCGTAAAATTGCCTCCATTTTCTCCTTCATATAAAAATCATACTGTGTAGTTCGTTACGGTTGGACATGTCAGGTGAGAAACGTTTGGCGCGGTGTCCAAACCCGTTCTCCACCAGCTGTTGAAGCGAGCAAGTGATATGACTGTATCATATCGTTCGTATTACTCGTTTTCTACCACTTTTTGTCGCATGCGCGCTTCAACAGGAACGGCTTTGACGGAGTGACACACTCATACTGTCTGACACGCCCAACCGTCCGCAGCGAACAATAGTTTAGATTGGCTTGAGAAAATATCGTAGGATGCTTACAGCCACTGGCAGAGCACCAAGTGGCGGCGTTTCCACTGTCATAGTTGGGCGGCGGCAGCGGTCTCTCTAGTGGGAGCTTGTCGATGCTGTCTCCGACCCGGGAGCATGTGTGCTTTCTCATGCTATTTTTCCATCTTTAATGCTTGCACCCTCTGCATTCGTGCCTTCCTTTCCGTCCAGATCTGAGTACGATCTGTTATCTTTCCACACGATATACCCTGAGGTACAGCGAAAAAGTCCGCATTACGTGATCGCTACGCTTGCGAACACTAGATTGAGATCTTATGATTTGGGAACTGTTTTTTCTTGACTATGAAAAGAGTTCTACAGCAAATAAGATAATAAAAATAAACAGCAAAGGATTGTATAATCAAAGAACTAAAGAAATTGTATAACAGTTATTTCAAACAAACGATAGCTCTGGAGCAAACATGCTCTATTCGGAGAGTTGTCCAATAGAGAACCTCAAAAACTGGTTTTGGTTGATTTAATGTTGAAGAACATGACAAAGCGACGAAAAAGAATCAATTTAAATTAGCCTCACAATAGATCTGATTCAATAAAAAAAGCACCACAAGCAAAGGTAGAGTTATTCACAATCAGTTATGCCTACTAACGCCTACCCTTTGTAATAATGTGGAGTAGGAATGTAAGAACAAAAGCGAAAGCGTAAGCATCGTTCTGGTTAGTCGATGGATACGAGAATTGAAGGAGGTCAAGTCTCGGTAGTCTACTTAGTTCTCTTTCAAACAATTCCATTCTTCTGTTCTTACACGCTCTTAGCTCTGAGCTCTCCTGTTCTCCAGTGTCGCGAAGCACGAACGGGTTCTTAGATTATTACACGCGGCAATCGCGGCATCGCGCAAACTTATCACACGGCATGCTTATGGATGGAGCTTCATTCAATTTACTTTGATACCTATCTGCCCATAAGTCATGATGCTATTATGTAATAATATAAGAAATAAGAATGATATTACTTACTCCATGAAAAATATCCACTGAACCAGTTGAGAGAAATCGACGAACAAAAAACTGCACCAGTCTGAACGAACATTATCCTCTTTTTCAGCAATAAAAGGTTTCATGGAGAAAAAGGAAGCATAAAAGGAGAACATCAGCGTCATTCTGAAAAGGTTTCAGAATGACGCTGATGTTCTCGTATCACATAACACTGTGATATGAAAATATGATCTAGGTTGAGCTAACTGGGTGGTTGTCACCACACTGAATTTCTTCTAAAGTCTAATGCTTGCACCTAGTCTTGTGGAACAGTGTAGGTTGCTATGAAGTTCTCAGAGATCACTTTCTGATTTCCTGTTCATATGGCTTATAGCCTTCTTCCCCGATGGTGTTCTCTTCATGGTGAAAGGGAAGACGTGCTGTTTTGGTGGAATCTATGGCCACCGATTGCATCCACTCAATATCCTGAATTCGGTTACCTAGGCACCCTTAGAAGGTCGGTGATCACTGGGTGAGCGCATGCGAAGGCAGAGCCATACCTCTTCCACGCCTGAGCTCGATGGAGCAGTTTTTATGCTTTTCTCACGATACATTTTTACAAACTGCTAGAAAACAATAATATTATTGTTTGAAGATGGTATTTTGAAGCACATATCAGCACAATTTCGCTAACATACCGAGATCTTTTCTCAGAATGAGGAAGACCTTGGTATTCAGGATATCTGGTCTCGAACTTCGGGCATGGTCCTGTTGTGAAATTCTGTAACGCGGACAGATAGAGAACAGTGGCTACTAAAGAACTGAAAAGTGCAAGAAACATGTGGCGATTCAAAGTGTGCTCACTCTCAAGGGGATAATTCAACTGCAATGTGTAAGGTAAGACTGACCATAGAATGCTACATGAACGAGAGACTGCGGAGAAAAACAGAATGTCGACGCATTGAAATGGACTGTTTCTAAGTACACGTTACCAGTAGATCGGGACATCTAGTAGCCAAGGAATGATGCGACATTTACTGTGCATCGACTGCTCTATGGCATCTTCAGTCCAGATCACTCGTTCTCATTTTCCTGCTTGATCTTCTTGACAACCTCCTCGATCGTTCTTTGTTCCCGGGCTCGTTTTGAACACTTTGATGGCTAACATCTGATAGCCTTCTTGTTGAGAATCTCCAAGCCAAAAATTTTTAACGACGGTATCCGGCGCTTTAAAGGAATAATTGCAGTGATAGAATGTCTGATGAAAACCCCCGAGACCCTTGCCTTTTATACGAACGCTGCGAAACGGGCGAAAAATAAGGTTTGAGCAGCATTGGAAAACACCTAAACATTATTTGAGCATTGTCTAGAAATTGTACATGCACTCTGAGTTGATACTTTAAATACTCACAAAATGAAAATATGCAGGGATGAATGAACCTGCAATGATATCCATGATATCAATGAAGCCATTGAAAAACATTAAGCAATAGCATGGGGTCTTCAGTAGTTTCCCTCGAAACATACCAATCAGACACGCCACATAAAGCACCTGAATCCATTATAAATGCACTGTTTGTGGAAGCAGTGGAATAAAGGATGAAAGTATGTTGAAAGTATGTTAGTAATTGTCTCTTGCTAACACTGATTACTCATTCCACGCTAATTGTACGGTAGGAGTGGATCAAACAAGTGAGCCCTTTTCATTGATGTGCATTCCTCTGAAAAAAAGGGTTTTCGGGTAGTGGAGCAGGCTTAGTAACGCTTTTCTGAAGGAGACAACTTTTCACACATGGAGCAGAAAAGTGGTTTATCCTCGTAGAGCGGTCTTTGGGCGCAGTTAAGGAGTAGTAATCTCTCAGGATCAGGAATTTCTCAGACAGGAGTTTGGAATACCTTAGTGTGATGCTTGTATCATTGAGTACTAGTATAAAAGGTGTGCGGCAGTATTAAAGGTAATAATGCCTCCTAGTCTTAGGTGCATTGAACTTCGCGATGACGCGCGCTGACGCTCCGTTGTAATAGCGAATAGCGCTTCAGTGCTACCCACGCCCTCGCAGCCACAGAAGAGCATCAACTGGCGCCAGCTATTTGTGATCTAGAAGAGTATAGGAAACAGGAGGGTCTCAGACTGTGTAATTGGGCTTGATGGAGCAGGATCGCAAAACAGCAACGTTGCTATTTTATAACGTCTAATTCTAATTCTGTCACTCCCCTACTCTCCTATACTCTCTATTCTTGCATATATGGCTGCGTTGCCGTCTGTAGCATTGAAGCGCTATTGGAACGTTAGCGAGACGACGCACGCCATCGCGAAGTCTGAATGTAGCCTTACGCATCATTCTCATATCACGATGTCATCTTTCATGCACTTATAACCTGGAACTTTTCTGGTAACTTGGAATAATATTTGGAGGAACAGTTTTCCGAGATGTCTTGCGACTATTTGTCACATGAAGGCAATATCCCCGAGACATCAACGAGGATACTATTCGAGGGCAATATTCTGAGCCAGAATTTCAACATAAGCTAAGGCCAAAATACATACGGGAAAAAGGCCAAAATTCATAGAAGTCAGGTATGGACGATTTATTTTCTGCCTTACCACAAAGATTGTTCCCGTCACTGTAAAATAAATTCCTTGTGCTTCGTTTACTGAACCTCTGCTTTTCCATTCAGATAGCGAACGGCCACTACAGTTGTACTCAGATTCATCAATTATCCAAGGGATATTCAAATGAAATACGTTCATTCTGAAAAGACTGAGCTGAAGTGGGACTATTTTCGGTAACTCTGACATAACGCATTACAAGTTTGACGCTACAAGTTCATGTGGCATGTTGAATCAATGATAATGAAACCAAAGTCAAAACAATGGAAAATCAAAGAGTCAAATCAATGGAAAATCAAAATGTTATAAGTGATATTGCAAAGGAGTTCCTAGAGGAGAATGAGATGAGAACTTCGCTAGTTCGAAACCCTAGAGTATTTCAAAATGTAGCCAAGGGCAAGCCTGAAAAAGCTTCAGCAGCAGTAGCACCACAGAATTCCATAGATATCCTATACCGAATGGACAGTGCCTATGGTTCTTAGCGAACACTTCGGAAGACGGCTACAAACAAGTGCCACTTTGTGGCGAGCGTCTTGCAAGAGAAAAAAAAACAAAATTCCGAGTAATGCGGAAAAGATTGGACCCGGAACGCTATTCTAGCCCGCACTTCAGGTCGAATGTGTTACTGGGCCATTCTTAACTCCATCGGAGCAGGCTTCAACTCTATTATCTTTATGGTGCCGTAATCCAGCAGCTGTTAACGATTTTAGTACTTTACCGGTAAATCTGAGGTGAAAGCTCGAATCTGCTCGGCATCAAGCATTTTCCTCATAACTGGAAACCCTCAGAGGGCGCAGTGGGGCAACAAGCAGCAGTCATCATATTCAGTCAGAGGTCTTTAACGACACAGCCAGTTGTAATCTGAAAGCACATCCCGCGAAAAGCTGTTGAGGACTTTGTAGGTAGCAAGAGTGAAACAGTAGTGCACAACAAGATGACCTGCCTGCTGAGAAAAAGTTGAAGAAACCCAATGCCCCACATGAATTTAATTTATTTAATTGAATTTTTTTATTTAATTTTCTGGAGACAGAGAATTGCAGTAGAGATGTAAAAAAGAATCCAGATAATAGGCACAGAAAAGCTGGACAGGGAGGGGGTGTGAGGGCAAAAAGGAGAGGGAAGGGCAATGCACCGCCAACATTGCAAGCCACTGCGTGGGTAGCCCCGGATACCAACTTAGTGGACCTCTCCATAGGCTCAAACGAGGTAGGGATAGTGGGGGGAGGAGGGGGGGAGGGGAGGAGGAGGGGGAGAGGATATAAACTTAGTAATGGGCACTTGCATACTGAAGATAGGTTGAAGAAATGAAAGAAAAAAAACAGAAAAATTCACAACAACATGGCTGAGTTCAGAGGCTAATAAATAGAAATAAATAAATTGCAGATCGAACAGGGGAGAAGTGAGAAAAGTACCAATTAGACAGGGACAAAAATTCAAAGTGGAGAAGAGGAAGATAATCTGTTACAACTAAAGGACACAGGCTGTCTTGACAGGTGCAAGAGTACTGCTGAAAGATCCAAGGAATAACACTTTGTTCTTTTTTTGAATAAGGAGATGCGCTGGGATTCCATAAGAGACGCCAGACATGATGGTCGCTGGAGCACATAACCAAGCAAGATTACAAAGTTCAATGACGGACGGTGTGTATTGTGCTAAGGCGAAGCCACCTTAGCAACTTCCCACCTTTAACCTTTATTACAACTTTCTAAGGCGAAACTGCTATGAGACTACGGTCTTTCCCCGCACAACGCTTCCACTCTAATGAGTCCTCCCGGCTCGTGAAATCCGCCTCCAAAGAAATCCTATCCGTGTGCATTGAATTTCGATGTTACATTTGGCTCATCAAAGGTTAAGAGAACCGCGTTTGCTAGTCATTCCCTCTAGTGCATTCTCCATCTCAAGGTCCACTGTAGGAAACACATATATTGAGTTTTTGTGACGGAAGACTAAGTTCTTACAAGGGAACCCCAACAGGTCCCGGCCATTTGCAATGAGGTGTATATACAGGGGGGGGGCCAAAAAAAGTCATTCCGGCCGAGTCACATATCAGCAAAGTTTTCGCAGCCCAGACAGAGGAAGTGGATATGAGTACCAGGGCGGAAGATACCCAAGATCTTCCTCTATAAGCAGGAGCCGGCTGCCGCCATTCACCTTCATGTACACCAAAATATGAAGTCATCTCCAGTCGCGGCCTGAGTGGAGAACGCCTTTGGAATTCACGTGGCCTCCAAACAGCTGCGGAACTTCTTGAATGGAATCACCCATGGATAGCTACCTGGAGACCAGTACTCTTGATCTGCAAGACCTCAAACATCGAGCAGCTCCGGCAACGTCGCTACGGTCCAGGACATCATCTTCACCCCATTCACCAAGGCGCGGGTTGATGGTGTGGACCGGCCGTACCTGGAATGGATGAACCGATATTTTCTTCGTGGGCCCCAGACTGAGGGTGTGCGCTGGTGGCTACATCGAGCAACTCGAGGAGAATATCCCATCTTCATGTCGTCGCCCGTACCTTCTTGGAAACTTTGTACTGCTACAGGATTGGGTGACAACACATTTAATCGAAGGGCGTTGGAAAAACTTTCGCCTACTTGGAATGGAAGAACGTTGAGTACCTGGAAAAGATGGAGTATTTAAGCGGGGGTCCTGAACTAAACCCCCTCAATTACTCGGTTCGGGCGGAGCTCAACAGGGTGGTCTACAGTGGCGGAGAAATCAACGATCTCGCTCAACTCCGGTACCCACTCACTTTCGCGCGGCCGAATCTCTCGATGGCGCTCCTCCAGAAGGCTGTGGCGGAGTATCATTATAGTATTTAATGTGCTCTTTAATATGGTAGTAAATGTCCGATAAAAATTTAATAAAGTGTAACTTATAGCGCCTTGAAAGTCATGGAGGCAAAATGACTTTTTTTTGCCCCCCCCCCCTGTATATATGGACGTGTCTTGAGCCGCTGAATCCAAATCTGCCCTCGGAATTTGCGGAACGATTCTCTGAAGGGAGTTACGGACCATTTAATCTTGCTCTGTTCGCACAAGTTGAGAACGATAACTGCATGCGGCAAGCGGCCGATGGCGTAGTGGGTAGGCGCACTGCTTCGGAGACGCGAGGTGGCATGTTGGAACTCTTGACTGTTGGAATTTTTGTTCAAAACACTTCATATGAGGCATTAAAACACGTCTGTTTGGCCAGCTCACCTAGTTCTTTAGTTATTTGACAATGGAAGGCGGCCGATTCTCCACTTCTGGTTCCTTTTGAAAACTTTCATTATGAGGATAACCGCTCTAGAGCTTGCATCAAGAAATGAGGATCTCACGGTTTAAAAGCGCATGTGCAATTTTTTGTGGTTATGTAGGTCCGTTGCACGCAATCCATCATCTACATTTGTTTGATATCTACTTTAACAGGAACCCAGTGAGCTTTCCCTTCCGAAATGCATTTTCAAGCTGATAACTTGTTGGCTCCACCAAGCAAAACTCATATCATGTCTAAACAGCTTATGCTGCATTGAATTGAACCTTGTGTGGCTGCAACAGGATACCTCCCCCCTGCTCCAGCCGACGCTCCTCATAGTCGACTCGTAGTTTTCCTTTATAGATAATGAATCCATTCAATCTGCTCTGCTATCTAATAGATATGTGAAAGTAATATACCACCATGTGCAACATCCTCGATTCAACCTTTAGACACGTACTTCTCCCTACCGTTCAAAGCTATGAATAAACACCGCTTCTTATGTATTGGCCCATAATATATTTTTTCAATACATGAACGGGACTCCACTTCTCCGTCTTTTATCTCTAGTCTATTTTCAAGTTTGCTCACCTAGTTTCAGAAACTTCTTATCCTAATCTTGGTACTCGGCTGGATACTTCGAAATACATCCTGGTAGATTTTCAAACACCTCCAGTACCGCATTCCCTCCAGACTGGTGGAGAACTGTGACTGTACCGTGTGTGTGGAGCACTCAAGGGTTCCAACATGCGAGCTCGCGTTTCCGAAGCAGTGCGCCTACCTAATACGCCATCGGCCGCTTGCGGAACGCAAGTTACAATTGTGGAGACAAAGCAGATGTTGAATGGTCCGTAACTCCCTAATCGTTCCGCAAATTCCGAGGGCGGACTTTGATTCAGCGGCTCAAGACACGTCCATGTATATACATCTCATTGCAAATGGCCGGATCGACCTGTTGGGGTTCCCTTGTTAGAATAGAGAATTGAAGTAGCATGAATGAACGATGACTATACAGACCCTTACAAAATAAAGCTTACTGTAGCTACTCTCGGGTACTAACAAGTCAACTAAACAACTCATGCTTTCTTATTACCTTTACCACGTGAAACCTAAGCATATTTCCATGATTGAAACTTTGAAGGACAATCGATTGGGTATGCTAAGAACAACTTGAAACCCTGTAAATCAGTAATCTTCTACGAATCGCGACTGTGTCTGCTAGATGTCACAAAAAGGGCCTCACTGATCTCCTTAGGAACCAGAACAAAACTGAAAGCATCCAAGTGAATCAGCTTAGAAAATCTACAGAATGTAGGAAAATCAAGTTAGTCATGTTTGGCATGCTGATGCTAGTCATGCTTGAGCAACTACCTATTAGCAGACTCGACAACAACCGGTTCAGCACGAAGAACGAGATGTGTACAACAAAACTGGCTCCCCAAATACAACCACGCTCTCAACCAGTTTGCGCGAGTCAATCCTTAAGCGAACAGTCTGCTCCGAAGTCCGTCATAGGGTTGGGAAATGAAAAACAGGAGAAATTTTCACGGCGAAACTTGACCCTACTCTAACCAGCGGCCAAAGACCCAACATCGTGTTCTACAACGAATGACAACCTCTGATTGGGCAGACCATCCGTCAAATGCGAATTTATCGCGGATGTTCTAGCGCTATTCAACTGCCAAGCTGGTTCTGTACCCACTTTGTAAAGAAATTCAACTTAAGAATTCCTGGACATCGAAGGAAGTTCTCGCGATCAGCTGAGACTTTTCTGTCCCTTCGTAACAGGTAGAGTAGTACTGAAAGGTAGCATGAAGGCCCGGTTCTGCACTGAGGGAGCCCAAAGAGTCACTGTGGAGCCAGTGCTGGCGAAAAGCGAGTCTAATCAATGGGTAATCGCGGAAT